AATTTGCCTTTCAACGTGCATTACCATATATTATAGGCTTCAAGATGAAGCTATTTCAACTGATAGAAGCCAAGAGAATATTTGGCAACTTACAGGAGCCGTAACTTGAAACCGCGATCATATGGAGCAACATTTATTTTCATTTAGCAGACGCTTTCGAATCTTGAACACAATTCCGCCATACATCCGGTTGCGTCGTCAAATGAAGCCCGCAGCCGAATCCCAGCAAACGATTTAAAGTGATTCGAACAGGAACAAAACATGTCGGCGGGTTTAATCGTTTCACGCGAGATCGGGCCGAAAACTGTGCGCTGCAATGGGAACCCTCCGCCAGCGCTCATCTCCGCTAATGAAATCGATCGGAATGCTATTCGGGCTATAAGTTACGAATACTTTTACGTATCCCCGGCTCGTCCGTGGTGCCACATATTGTAAATTTTGCGCGGTTTCCCGTGTGTACGGGTTGGTTCTTCGTTGTGTTCGCCTTGCTGAAACCGCGCGTCATTGACGTCACGGACAAAATGGCGGCGAACGGTGAAAGGTTCGCCGAAGATCGCGACGAAGAAAGAATACCGAGTTTACAACAACAGAGAGACCAGAGATCGAATGGCGCGGTGAACAGAGAGCAAAACAGTTGGAGAAAGGGAGAGCAGGGATCATTACTTGACCAAAAGGGAGAGGAGAAAAGAAAAAGAACGAGAAGGGGGAGAGAGAGTACTATACGTCGAACGGAACCGTCAACGACTGGAGAGGACAGTAGGATAGCATCGAAAGGAGCGACCTAGGTCGGTTGCTCTCTCCGTCTTTCCTTGTTCATGGCCCCCGGAATAGACCTCCCTCAGCCAGAAGGCAGCAGTGGGTCCCCTCCATGAAGGTTTCCCGTTCTCTCTTCTCGTCTCCTCACCTCTCCATCCTCGTGGAATTTCGTTTCTCTCCCACTCCCGTATTCGTATTCTCCTCCTCACCTCTCTTCGCTCTCGCACACGCTCGTGGAGATCGGCGACGGCGCCGGTTGCTAGAGCGAGCGAGCAAGCGAGCGAGCGAGCACATGCGCATGTTCGAAGCGGAGCACGTGGTTGGCCGGGTTCACCTGCACATGGAAAAGGAGGGAACCAACGCCGAGCGTCCCGGCGGCACCGCGGCACCTGCTCTCTGCGTCGTGTTGTCTATTCGATAGAATGGAAGAGGGGTGGTTACGGGTGAGGGAGAGGGAGTAACGCGGTGGTCCGCACCGCAGTTAGAGGGAACGAGAACGGAGAACATGGGAATGTGTGAACGTGCGCGCGAAGGGGAGGAGGAAGGGGAAAGTTATTTCCACCTTTTAAAAACCATCCAGAAGTTCTCTTATAGGCGGAGCTGCGCCGAGCGGACGCGCTTACTATTGGCTGCATTAATGTTCAATATATCATGTCATAACGGCTGAGAAAATATTGTCCCCGCGTCCATATCTGCGGATGGTAAACACCACGGCCTCGCGTACCCTGTCGCGGACCGACTACCCTGCCGTCACCCCTTCGCGCGTAGGTATTGGACAATAATAAGTATTACCGATTATTATTTGTAATTATCACGTAAAAATTGTTTTAAGGGACAACACGGGCTTGACACCAGCTGCCGGACAATTGCGTCGAACGCACTTAGAACCACTGATGTAATTGGCAGATGGGTTATTCTTTATGTGGATATAAAGCCGAATGGAGTAAACCGGAGTTTCTTCGGTTGACCGTCCGTTTTGAAGAAAATCGGGTTTCAAAATCGCGTTTGCCGGTGGAGCGTGTTGCATTTTGAGAAGAGTTGGCACGATGAACCGTGTTAGACGATTTTTGTTTTGGCGTACGCGTTATCGGTGGATTGTCGAACTTGATTTTTATTCTTCGATTCGCTCGTATGTTGCAATTTTGTTTCTTTGATTTGTGCAGACTTTTGGAACGCTTTTTTGGAACTTTCCCTTGTTTTTTTTTAATATTATTGTACAGCATTGGGAAATAAGTTTTTGAATTTTGAAAATTTTTGCTGTTTGTAAATACACGAAGGGATATCGTTCACATGACAACCTGAAAGCAGAAATTTCATCGATACCTTCTATGCATTTTGTTCCTAAACAAATTAATTTTATCGGTACCTTCTATGAATTTTGTTCCTAAACAAATTAATTTTATCGGTAGAATGTAAGGACAGTAGTTTTTTGTAGATTGACTAGAAGTAGAATATTTCGGACGCATACAAAATTATAACTCTTCCAGTTGAGTGCCGTCAATCTAAACAGTCAATTTATATTATTTGTAATGTGCCTGATAGAGACCAAATACTTATAAACGTAATGTATTTTTTTATAAACGTAATGATCAAAATATATCAGTAAAATTTTGTATAAAATTAGTTGAAACATTTTACATGCATCCATAGCAAAGAGATGCAAAAAGCTTGAAATATGTTTGGTGAGGTGACATTTAAAATGGAGATTGTTCGTGTCTTTTCGGCGTAATTATTGTCCAACATCAAATTTCAGTATGTATAGTTTAAGGGTTCAAAACACGAAGGTGTTAAGTTACAGGTGTAAAATTTCAAATAAATTGAATTTGAAGTTATTCTATGATACGTATAAATTCCGATAACAATTATCTTAAGTAACATTCGCCTTTCAACTGCACTTTACGATTTTACACTACGAAAGAAGGATGGGTTAAAATTGGGGACTTTAACAGTTATACTTTTTGTCTAGCAATGTTGCAGCTAAACTTGATCAGTTGTGTTATAAGTACCAAATACAGAAAAGTTGTCACACAACTACAGTTTGTTTAAAATTTCATATAAGTTCTAATACAGCACTTAAAAAATCTAATTTATGACTTATTATTTATGTTTTAAAAGGGAAAAAAAGGAAAATGTGAATTTTTGAAGTTCTATTGATATGCTCGTACCTATTACCATAAGTTTAGTGTTCACATGCATTACATTTGTCAGTAATATCTTGCATGGCAATACAATTTCTTTCACCGGCTTTCGGTTCAATGTCCGTCATAAACTATAACAGGTGTTAGAAAGTTGCGAGAAAGTCCAATTCAGTTACAAATAAGGGGATTAAGAGGTACATCAGTATAAATATGAAATCGGGGTAATTAGTGCCCTTTTTACAATTACAAAAATTAAGACATTTTGCTAATGGGAATATTCTATTGAGGATTGAAGAACTGAATTTTTATATTTATATTTTCTCAGAGAAGTTTCAGAAATCAGTTTGGAATATACATTCGAATTTTTTAATTTTTCCAATAACTTAATGAAGACCTCGAACGATAACGGAAAACAGATTCATCTCAGAACTTTTTGTTTAATATGACCGTCTGCTATCTGAATATCTCATCAACAATATATTACAAGACTTAATTGAGCTCCTCTCTTTCCTTATTTCTTAGTACCTGAAACGACTGAAAAAATGATGGATGTTATTTACCATCTGCAACAACCAAGCTCGTACTACTTAAAAATTCATTTGCTCTTATAATATGAGTCAAGTAGAATTAGCCGAAATTACGGAAGGTATATAAACAGTTGTTTTAAATGAATATGTTTAGGCGCTTACTAAATATTAATTTAATTGTTTTCAACTTTAAAAATTAATTTTTAATGCGGAAATATTCTATATTTTGCAGAAGAAAGTATTAAAGCTAGGTTAATAAACGTGCCGTCATTATCATAAAGTCTTACGAAGTAATAAATAAAATGGAACTTGATATAATACCAGCATATGAGTATGATTGATGCTATTAATCATCTCTTGTATGAATTTCTGCCTCTTGGATTATATCTTTTTGTACGGAAACTACTAATTTGACAATTTAGCTGGAATTAACATATGATCAGATAATCGATAATAAATGGGCGCAACCAGTTCGGTCCATTTTAACATGACAGAGGTGATATTATGATAAATTTAGGTGTTGGATGACTTTTATTGTACATTTTTTTACTAAATTGAGGGAGAAGTCAAGAAATATCCAAAAGATGAATTACAATTTATAATTTTTTAGTCATACCAATAAGTAAAATTATTATCATTAATATTTCGCTCGGTAAAATAATGATATTATAAATAATTCCTTAGGTAACAGTTGATAAAGGTAAAGAAATGAGAATAAAAACTGACCAGATTATTAAATATCTTTTATAAAACATTATATTTATAAAACGTTTCAAAATGAACAGGCTGCCCGCGTACGAATACAATGTTCCTCGTTTATTCGACTAACGTACCACCAATTAATTTGAATAATTATAAGGTTCTACTGTACTTTCTGATAAAGGACTGCATGTTTTATTTTAAATTCAATTTGGAAGAGATTTTATCTGATCCTTGCATACATTAAAAACACAAATATGCAGATTAAAGTTAATGTACGACTATTAAGCGTAACATATTCTGGCAATGTTTGCGCTGTAATAGCGTTTGGAACATTTTCAAATAGACTGTTACGTGCGCATTACCTAGGCATTTCATAAGTTACATAACATTTTTAACATTTAATATTTACACTATCCATTAAATGATACCGTTTTCAGTACTGAAAATAACAGTTGTTTTAGGCGAGATTATTTACGAAAAAATAAATACGTTTCAACGTTTTGTTATATACAAGAAATATAAATTTGGCTCGATTTGAAATCACCAATTTAAAAGTATTGTCAATTTATATGCCCTATAAGTAACTATAAAAATTTGTAAGTTAAGTGTCTAAAATAAAGAAGCAGAAGTAACAATATAATGGTCTTGAAAGATGTATAAAAATCCAAACAAGTTGATACTAAATTAAGCTTAACTTAAGAAATTCTCGAATTGAACCAATTATTTGTCTTTCAATGATTACTTGAAATTAAATTTGAATGAATACTTAATATTGCACAAAGGAGTAATTCTAAGATTCTAAGAATCCTAGAGATTTATTTTCATTCTAGATCTATCGTTAATACACTTTAACCATTGTTCTGTTTTTATGCTACAGATGAGAGTGTAGAAATCCTGCTGGCATACAGTACCAAGCTTCTAGAACTGTTCCAGTATCCTTGGGTATCGCTGCCTTTGATTTACGTGATTTTGAAGGATGCAAGCGGCAATCTCGAAGAGGCTGTGAGGCGTATAGTCGAAGGTGAAGTACCTATATTATTTCAAACTTTCTATTAATTAATACCGTAATTTATTACAGTAATATTTAAGTTCGAAACTATTCGAACATAAGTCGCCTTCACAAACTAGAATACGATTATTTTTCTTGAAATGATCAACGACATTAACAAATGATAGGTACAGAAGTATTAAATATTTCCGCTGCATGGCATGCTTTAAAAACATGCAATGTTAAACAAATGTAGAATAAATTTTGTTCGTAAAGAGTTTCTATTTTAACAACTGAGCTTCGTATCCTATTACAATAGAATATTCTGAAATACTTCTGGTATTTTGTATATTATTAGAATATGAAAAGAGAAACTATAGTTTTACTTCCAAAGAATACACAGAGCGTCTTATACTCTAGTGAAAAATAATATTCTTAAGATCTTTGGTATCATAAACTATTTTTCATTTTAATTAATCCATCTTTCCTTGGAGAAGTTCTTTACGAAAGAAATTTAGTCTACGTTTACAATTTACTTCATAATGCGTAAACACTATATTTATTAAAAAATTCAATCTGTTAGACTACGATGATATGAGAAATAAAGAAACTAATATGTAGTGTTTTATAGTCATTTATAGGATTGTCCGAGCTCCGAAAAATAATTCAGAATTTTCTGTTTCTTGATCCAGTTTGTTATTGCTTGGAGAGTTCTCTTTGGGATACCCTTCTGGACAAGATACTTTCGTTTATTCTGACCTTAATACCACAATGAAGATATTGAATTTTTCATATTTTTAAATGTTGATCTTCGCAGAAGTGACAATCGGCGTGGATGATTTTATCCACGGTTCAGTACACATTCTTATTGTTCGTAGGATGTTATTTTCTCGAATTCAGTTCAAAACAACAAGATTTTCTGTTTTATGGGAATGAAAGAAACGTCAACGACACATTTAATTACGACTGTTCAACGATCGGAAGATCATTTTCTTTTCTGGAGACTGCAACGCGATGAAATTGTCAAGACAATCTGGGTTCGCTAATAACGTTTTGGAGTAATCGAATAAGCGGTGTTATGCGATTATTATTTTATAGTTTCTCAGATTAAATAGCTATGGTACCGAATTGTTAGATACCTAATTGCCCAATTTGTACTGGTCATTGTTTGAAGAACAGTTTTGGCAGCATAGAGAGACCGCAATAGTATACAAATATTCAAATACTTTGGGGACCATTATTGGTAGAACGTCGTACAAAATGAGTACAACATTCCTTGTTGAAATCTACTGTAATAAAATCGGCAACACACGCGTTATAAATCGCTACATCAGAGAAATATTTCCGCTTTGGCGACAGTCTTGACGAATAACTGGCGTAGGTTTATCCTCGTGCCTCTCGATCTGCCAAAATTCCGTTACAGTTCCTGGAATGGTTCCAATTGCGTTGCGTTTGCGGTTCTCCATACTCTCTGACAGAAAAAAGATCAATCGTCTTCGACCTCAAAAGTCATCATACTTGAAGATACTCCGGAAAGTACGCGATGATCGTGGACACGTTTGTCTCAACACCTGAAGATCATAGTTTTTTGGGTCTACATCGCATTTCATCATCTGGAAGATAATATACTTGAAATTCTCAGAAAAATGGATCGCGCGTGGCGCTAATGAAAAGGTTAAAAAATTATTTTATCTTTACTAATGATCCTTTGCTAACACTAGATTTACGAGAACTATCGATTTAATGAACTTCAGACTAAATAATGAAAGTCACGGTGATCGTAAATATTATTTTTCAGTAATTATATATTAATTTTGGATTGATACGACGTAAATACATATCTTATTATTCATATTTCCGTCGAACTTTTTTTTCTGCGAACAGGTTCATTTAACGGGTTAACTAATTTCATAGCAAGTGGTAATAAGCAGGTTTATAAAACCAGATTTGTAAAATCGTAAGAGATGATGCTTGGAATCATTGCGAAATCTACCGAGGCACGTTTAAACAAATGTGTCACTGATTTAGAACAGTGTGCGAATAGAATATTCTAAATCGCTGGTATTTCATGCATTTGTCGATTTACTATCGAGTAACTTCTTTGCGTAATCTTTGCGTTCTCAATATTTGATTGGCGTGTCTTCTGTCGCCTACAGGGTATTATTTCGACATATCATTTCTGTCCAATCGAGCAGCATATATATTTATTGAAACTCTATTATTTGAATTAATGATTTCATTTTTTTTTTTAGTAATTCGAACATATTTGTGTCATATACGTTTGTTAAAGGACATAACCAGTTTATTTCAAATTTCATGTCACTCCTCCAAATTCTGAAAAATAACCCAGAAATTATAGTTGATGTAATGATGCAAATTGAGTTTAAATGTATCTATCAGTATGAATGGTTTCAGTAAGAGCAGATACATATTAGTGTCCGTAAATCTAGTGTTAACGATTTCATTGGTAAGTACCCAATTATACCATATCACTTCCTATTTTTCCTTTGCTTCGTTTCAATGCGAAAAATCGATCACGTCTTGCCGATTTATTATGGTTTTGATATAGCACGAACTTCGAGATTTAATTAGATAAAACTGAAATAACACATGGTATTTAAATTTCATGGAGTCTGGAGAATATTGGTATACATCAGAAAATACAAAAGCATTATTTTTCAAACTTAGTCATTAAAATATCTCCAGCAATGACAGTATTTTGACATTTCAAATAAAAATTTGAATTTTGGCTAACAATTTGACTTCACATATTATATTTTCAGTATACGTTTAAAACACTTTCGGCAATAAAATCTCTTTACCCATTACAAGCAGTAATACGCTTTTTAGAGAATGAAAACGTTTCAGAATATAGCAGTCAAAAAATTGTTATATTCGTTCATTTTCGATCGTATTTTTGTAAATTCTCGAAGAGTCATTTTGAAAACTGAATAATTTTTTATTTATCCAGTTTGGATATATCTTCACGCGGATTTTAAATCAAAATAAAAACATCTAATAAAATCACATGATTTTTCAGAGCTTTCTCGAAATAATCCCTTCGAATCAAATTGTCCTACTTCCCGTAGATTTAATATGCTGACTAGATAACACGAAAGTAATTAATCACGTCATTCAAAGGATATCTATGTTTAACGTATACAAAATGGTGGTTATAAAAGCACAATTGCAAATAGTACATTTATACGTAGATATCACACATACAATTTTTGCTGTGTCCTCGTATTATAATCACATTATTCCGTTCCTATTTTCCTTAATAAAAATGAAAGTAGCAATGCAACTTCGATGCAGGATTGAGTGGTACAGAAAAGTTTAATATAAACGCAATATATTTATTCGTGTAAAGCCGTTATTTCTAATTACCTCCTTGGCTTGTGGGTGTCGTGTGAGTCAGTCGCGGATTCTCTGTATCGGAAGATCCTCGTTATTTTATGGATTTTGCGCAATACCATGTGTCACGTATCACGATAGTATCACCTGTTGTTTTATTTTGCAATTTCAGCGTATGTTCTTTGTGATAACAGCAAAAAGGGGAAATGAATATGCGAAATAGGGTAAGCACTGCGTTTATATGACATGAGCAGGAAATGACTATCGTATTGATATTTTTCACTGCCGGACAGGTGAATGCAATCCGTTGAAATGGATTATTAAATTCAACTTCATCGTACACTATCATCCATACATATCCGTACAATCGTTAGATTGATAGTAACAGTACATGCATTTTACTGTCTGGGTAGAGAAACAGCGTATGAAAAATTATAAACTGAACATTAAAAATAATCTTTAGCACTCTGTTCAAGAATTAGCTGATTGTAATTGCAAATTATTTGTTTAAACAAATTTAACAATGTGATATTAAAATTGAATTTTGACTCGTTGATGTACTGGATAGTTTTACATATTGTCTGCCATTAATCGCGTTCTTACGGAAGTGTTTCTGGCTATACTTGCTTGTTAATTAATTAATTTATTTCTATTTTTTGAAGAATTACTTTTGTCTAATCTGTACTTTGGAAATTAAGCTATTAATTGCAATTTTTTGATTATGAATATTTATCCTGTATATACAATAAAAAATGATTAATAAAAGTTTGAAGGTATAATTTTACGATAATTATAGTAATGGTAATTTATGGTACAGATAATATGATACAATTACATGCAAAAAGCTTTAAATAAATGACCAACATAGATTTTGAACTATAAGAACAAATTGTTAGGAGGAACCTACATAGAATTCGTACGTTGATCTGGTTCTTCTTCTTTTTTTCCCTTATTTTAGTAACATTAAGAGCGCATCACTTTAAATATTTTTGTTTAAATATTACAATCATATTCTACTAATCATACTTTTTACGGGATTCTGAAATTAACTAGAAGTTCGAAATGTAATTGAATATAATTAAAGAGGAAAACACTTTATTCAGACATTTTATTATGATATGCTCTCCTGGTAACCATTTGAAAGGACTGTCCTTGTTAAAATTTTATGAGTTTTTCAATAATACACATTAATTATTTCTACCTTTGAAAGTTACGCATAGAATTATTGATCATTTATTTTTTACATTTACATAATACATCCAACGCTTCGATAAAAAATATAGTTAATTGATTATGGAAGCTAATGGAAAGGGTGTCGAACATTACTCAACAAAATGGTAATGCTTATTAAAAACACGTATAAAATAAAGATAATTATATATTATGTTAACTGATCTTGCATGCTTCACAAATCAACTAGGCATAACAATTTATCGGTAACAATTGATAAGATTGTTCACCAATTTTTTATTTACCATTTAAATTGTTTCCTGTTAGAAAATAATTGGACACTCAGGTACGTAGTTTCAAATGGTGAAATATGCGCGTTTACTCCGATATTGATTTAATTTATAGAAACTGATATTTAATAACTTATATTTAGGGTAATTTGCACATTCTAATCTAATTATTATACATGTTGTAAACAAATATTTCGTTCGTATCATTATCAGAGTCAGAAGTGCTCACTTTGATAATAAAAATTAATTACATAAAATCTCAATTTCAATAACAAAGTAAATAGCTGTTGAGGAATACGTAGCGCATGATCCAGTTTTGAGTACGTAAGATTTTCCTAGGACCCAGAAAACACACATGCGAGGTAAAAACGGAATTTTCCGCCGCCTTCTTATAAAGTGTTGAAAGCTGCAATGGCTCCGCACAGTGAGTCATGCAAAATGGAGAATATGTTATTTCAGCAGAGCTGGCTAGACAAGATTGGAAAAAAGATCTGATGATATAACGAGATCTATTTTCTTATGACATTACATTTCGACATAGTTATAACAGCGAAAACAAGTTTAACATGTTCATTATCCGGTAAGCGATGTGACGCACTGTCTTTTTTCCTGCTATAAAATGTGTTTTACTATTAAACATATGCGAGGTTGAGCTAATGGATTATGAACAGATCCTTTCTCAGTGGAATATTGAATAATAAGTAACAAATGAAATATGTTGGAAGAAATATGGAGCTGTCACGTAATTGTTTCCTTTGCTTCATAATAACGAGTTAGATTCGCGGCAGAGCTTCCAAATTAAAGGGTGTAGTTGAAAAAAGAGGACAAAAATACTCCTGAGCCAAATTAAATCAATGATCACCTTTCGATAGCGCGCTAAGAAAAAGCATTCTGTATGTGTTATGTTTTAGTCATCTCCTTGATCGCTGAGGTAGTAATTGGGATGATAAGATTTTCTTTTGTTTCCTACGTTTAATCGCATACAAACGCTCTGAAAATAACTTTGCTGCTTGCAGCTACGGAAATTCGTGTTTGTTGTAATAGTAATTTATAATCTTTATTGTAAGAAGCTATAAAATGCGAGTAGATACTTTTATCGAAGAAATTAAAATTTTTTATTGAAAATTAGATGAAGATTAAAAGTGAGGTCATTCATATATTTATTGTGATAACGTATTATTATGACGATTGACGAGAAAACAAATTATGAGAATTGAATTTTTTAACGTTCTTTCTGCGAAAAAGCAACTAATATTGCTTTGAGTTAAATTTCTGTATTACCTTTATTTTGTCTGTGCATTAACCGATATTGAATATCTTTGTTTTCAGGCAAATAACATAAATTTAACGATAAATTCACCCAATGAAAACTATCGTGCGCTTATAATTAGAAGCTGCATTATGCTATCATATAGTTCCATTGCTGTGTTTTTTTATTAAATTATATGAATTAGCTTTGATAAACGCAGCTGCGCAAAAATTCTTACAAGAAAGGTTTAATAATTGATATTGTCGTTCTAGCGATTTCGAAGTTTGATTTTGTAGACAGATTTTTTTACGAAACTGAAAGACATTGTGTCTTGAAATTGTTATGAAAGTAGCAATGTGACAGAATAAGCAGCATCGACTAACTTCTTAGCTGTTTCATAAAAATGTATATCTACATTGTTTCAAAATACCTTGTTTTAATTTCTACAAAAACTTTAATTTAGGTAACAGATCGTAATTTTCTCGTGTGACGAATTATACTCGTCATTCCGTGAAAAATTGTTGTTTCTTCGTGACGAGTATACTCGTTATTACCCAAACAATTACCGTTTTTGCGTGGCCAATGTACCCATCATTCACGGCTAAGAGGTTAATGCTTGATACACAGAAGTATCATACAGGTAAATGCGTCGCATGTTTTTACATTGTGGATGCAATGTATCGTGGTGTACTGCAACGGTTCTCTATTAGATGGGTGCTAATATGGAGATTTACAGTTATAGCTGCGAGCTATACCTCAATTGTTTTAACCCTCCTCGAACCAATGCTTTTTATGGCTAAGCAACAGCCGTGACTGGGTCGATACAGACCCACGTATATGTTGAGAAATTGTTTTCTTATAATAACTATTATTATTATTTGATAACATAAAACATACTAAAGTACTATATATGCAATAGCATACATTTAGTTAGATCAGTATATATTTATGATAATTATATAAATAAACAGTAAAGTGTAAAAAAACAGAAACAGTTTTTATAATGTGTAGGTATACATTATAAATGATTTCCAGATACGAATTGTAATAATATCCTATGTTTTTGGAAACTATTATACCTAAATATACACTTGTAGCAATTCCTGGTGTATAAAGAACATATACCATGTAAGTAATTTTGTCATTGAGATAACTTAATGGAGTACACTCGTAAAGAGCAGTGGGCATTACGTAAATAATTGAATAGGATAAAAACACTATACTAAATCCATTAGTAGCTACAGAAAACCGATATTACTTTCACAGTAAACCAAAACATTTCATTATGTATGGTAGCTGTTTCCTAAACATAATGATTTTCATATTCAATGATAACAAATATATTATCGTCGATTATACTTTTCAAAAAGTAATTCGAGATATTTCCCTCTAATATCTCAAAACATTTAATAGCTACCTGTGGGACAGAAATAATCAAATAAATTCGTATAATAATATTACTATTAGATTTTACGAAGTATTAAATGCGTTACATACAACGCGATTGTAACAGTAGAAGCAAATATTTAATCAATTAAATAAAAAAAATTATACTTTTTTGTAAATAAAACATGCAACCGCTGTAAATTAAATTACACATTCAATCGGGATCATGAAGATGTGAGTCCGCGATGAGGTTAAAAGGCGACATAACTCCGCGCCGGGACACATCAATCATTGTCTTTCGCCTTGTCCGATGCGATTGAAATTTACGAAGGTGAAGCAGTCAAGTAGGCGTGAAAAAGGAGGAAGAGTAATTTGTTATGTAGCCGGCGTGCTGGGCTACTGTTTACACGAGCCGATCATTATAAATCGCTTAAGCAGGCTATGGTCTGTTCGTCGTATTAGCTCCTGTTGGCGCCCTCAGGCGCGTATCATCTCGATCTCGATCGCTCTTCTTATAGAGCTCCAAATGAACCGACCAAATTACTGTTTTATTGTTTATCAAGGTAATTTTCACGTTAGGATGGTGTTTAATCATTTCATTCACGTGTGTACCGTACCCGTTGAAAGGAGTATGATCGCCTGAAACATCAGAAAACATATTTTGCGTATCTTTACAGTGACTCATTAACAGTTTTTTTTTATTCTGCCACTATATTAACAGAATATGATAAATTACTCGAATAAAAACTTTCAGTTTGAAAACATTTTTTTCTTTTAAAAGTTAGAAGAGCGTTCTACGAGTTTCTTTCTATTTTCGAACGGCTGTACGATGAATTTGAAGACGACCGTATATTAAAAGGAAAATTGAGAGATCAAATTTAATTTTGTTAATCGTGTCAGCAGCTACTTGTGTCCCAGATTTTTCCTATAATTTTCAGAAACGCAGTGGTTACATTTACCAGAACTGTAGTTTCAGAAATAATTCATTCTCGCTTGTTGAAATTAAAACATGGCAAATGCATAGTCTTGGTAGGAACTCGTACACACACTTTGAAGTTAATTGTTATGATTCGTTTAAAGAGATTATTTCGATTTTTTATTTCATAAAATGTGATTATTTTGTTTATTTTCAATTAATGATTCTTGACTCTCACAATTAGTATTCTACTGCTGAAGTAATTCCTTTTGATCCTTAATTTTGGCAAATGCGTAACAGTTTTGGCACAATTGTCTATAGTAACTTTTCACACACTAACGTTAGCCCGTATACGCATGACTATGTAAGTATTTACGCATACGACACATTTTGTACGTATTGGAGTCGATTTTGACATTCAGAATGTTTAATATATCTGCAAAGATTTTGTACTTCCATTGCTTTCTGACACTGAATTCTGCAATGCCGATAACAATCGATTTCTTAAATATTTTGAAATGTTGTTGCTATGCCGAGTCAAGCCTCTCG